TTGATACTACTTCTTTTTAAAGTAGTAGTATCTTTCTCCTCTTTTCTGCATATGCCACCAATTGCTTTGGATCTTGAAAAATGGCAGTATGTAAATACACCTTTAGTCAAAATACAAAGTCAGAGGAGGTGACGTGACTTGGTCTCAACTTGAGTTGGCATCAGTTGGATTCTTTGGAAAAGATTATGCTTCGGTCCACCTTTTCGCTATCTGGAACGTAAAATGCCATTTATTTTGAAAACAAACTTAATATGCATTCTTTTTAAAAAGGAGGAAAAAACAAGACTAAAGCTTAAGCTAAATCCTTCCTGCTTAGCAAGGTAGGAGCAAAGGCAGTGTGGCTGAACAGAAGGAAGAACTTGCCAGCTGTAGATCTGTTTGAGGAACAAAACTAGAATAACCAGTTCTTAAATGTCCCTAATGCTTCATGGTAAATATTTAACAGTAAACAAATCAGCAGTTTGGAGTTTATATGCTCAGAAAGGTTTATTTGCTGTGCTTCATAGGTCGATTTGTGTAAAGTGATACTTTGGTTGAACAAAACTCATATTTACTGTAAGCCAAGGCTCTGGAGTGAACCTAAACAAAGATCACAATATCACCTTACATTTCTGTGTCCTACCGAAAAGAACCCGAACATCAAAACAGAGCAAGAAACTCACTACAAATAGAGACCATGTTTATTAATCAAACCACAACCAGTTAAATTCACTTCCAAAGTTCAAAGGGATTCGTTTGGGGCCACGCCTACAGAACAATTTCCTGCACTCCTGTTTTGACGTTGAGTAATGTATAGGAGAGAATGTGAGGAAAAGATGGGTTTTCCCCATTTCTCTTGGGAAAAGGAAGAAGCAGCCATTCAGGTGACATCACCTGCCATGTGTGCTAATTGATTACCAGCATGGCTGGAAACATCCTTTCTGTGTGTGCTGTGAGATCGAACATGGGGAGGGCAATCCTGTTGGTTCTCCCAGCCCTCTCAGTGGCTCTAGGTTAGATATTATCAGACCTAGTAGCCTTCCCAATCACAGCTGAATTTAAGAGGTACCATGTTGAGATTGCTCCAGACTTTCCTGGAAAAACCCTGTCTCAGAAGCTGGTGTTAGGAAACTCCAGTTCCACTCCATCCCCATTTGTCTGTGGGGTGCCACGAATCTCCATCTTATCCTTCATGCCTTTAAACAGCTGCATGAATTTGCTAGGGGAACTCTGAAGGGTGATCATTATACAAATAACACTGAGTTCTGCTTTCATGTCCATCCAAAATCCCTGAGAATTGGAGAATCTTAAACCATTGTCTGGAGGTGCTTTTGGTATAAATCAAGATGAACAAGTTGAGATGTAGTGAAGTGCTGTGGACTGGGAAGCTGAGCACTCCAGTTAGAGGCTTAGAGCTGGTCTTAGGTGGGGTGGCACTTGCCCTAGACAGTGTGCAGTCTGGGAGACTTCCTGGACTCTTCTGTGCTAACTGGAGAAGCTCAGGTGGCTGCAGTGATCCAGAGTGCGTTTTGTTGCTTTAGGTTAGTAGGCCAAGTGTGACTCTGTCCAGAAAGTTCACGTTTTGGTTATTGCTACAGTAGTGACATCTAATCTGGACCTCTGGCAAGGCAGTCAGATCCTGCAACACCCATACCGCATGCACCAAGTACCAGTCCATTTCCAAGCCAAGTTTAAATTGCTGCCTTGACTTCCAAAGCCTTGGGATTAGATTGCTTGAAGGACCAGCTGCACCCACTTCAGCCTGCCTACCCACCCTTAATTATCAACAACAGAGGACCTTCTTATTTGTCCACCTTTGAGAGCAGGCCTTTTCTGCAGTGCCCCCACCTCCCTGGAACGGGTTGGCATTGGAAGTTCTTTACCCCCCCCCCCCCCAAACTGGCATGTTTTTTCAGAAACATGGCTCAGAAAACTAAATTGTTTGCTCTGGCCTTTCTCTGGGATTCAGCTGAAGGAGTGGAAAGTGATTCGGGGTATGTGTGCGTGTTTTTGCACATGCACACACACACAAACTCCAAATATATAGCATCAGAAGCATTTCGGCTAGAAGCAGACTGAAGTACAAGGCTTCATTTCTCTGTATACGATTCTGGCCTAGATGTATAAAGGCAGTTGGAAGGCATATGAAAGGGACAGGACAATCCAGAAGGACTCTTTTTTTAGCCAGTTAATCCCACCTGGAATAGGTCTTTTTCGATTGTTCATGTTGGCAGATGCTGTCCACATACTTTGTAGCACAAGAGTTGAAGAAAAAGACTGTTTAAGCAGCAGTGTTCAGAGTCCCATACCAAAAGCCATGTATCACCTGTATGATGACCACATGCAAATCCCTAAGCCACCTGGCTGCAGCTGTCAATTAAAGCAGCTAAAGGCACAATCCTATAAGCCTTTAGACAGAAAAAGTCCTGCCATTGCCACAATGGCGCAGTCAGCCATGCTGGCTGGGGTGTGCTGGCAGCTGTAGGACATTCCTCTGTCTAAGCAGTGCCCCCCAAGGCACTTTCTGTTTTTAGCAGTCTGTAATGCCTCATGCCAGGGCCCAAATCCAGCCTGGCTGGCCTTCCAGGGTACTGCAGATTGCCATGCTCCCTTTCCCTGGACCATCAATCACTTAATGGTTTCTTGGCTTTTGTACAGTGTTTTTCCACATTTTAATAAGGTTGACATGCCTCTCCTAAGACCAAGTTATTGGCAGAGGGAGCTTTAAGCAAAAGCATACTGAGTTTTAGATTTGTTTGTTTGTTTGTCTTTTTAGCCACAACCCTTGCACTTTGGGCTTAGCCCTGTTTTGTTCCTAGCCCTGCCTAGCACTGGAATGCAAACCTTCTCCAAAATAGAGTTTGGCATTCAGGCTGAAAGAAATTCAGATATTCTCTGCATTAACACGCTTTAAAATTACTTAAGTGACTGCCTTAATCCACTTTTCATCCAGTAAGCCCCATGTAGATCTAACTGTACTTGAAAAGATTATTCTGTCTTCATATGTTTGAATGTTGAGTGGGGAAGTTATCAGAGGCCATTGCTGCCGTTTCTCAAGATCACAGAACCAAAGATGTTCTGTTTTCCTGTTTTCTCCAGTTGTCCTTCAGCTACAAGGTGAGTGGGAGCTGTGAAGCCATTCCAGCTGCCAGAGGCCAGGCACATGGGTACTTTTTTCCTTGTCAGGGGAAAAAATTGTGATCGGCTGTTGCCATAAGGATGCATTATTTCACCCAGTTCACCTGCCGCATGGGATTGTCTTATGCAGAAATCAGCTTCTGCACTCCTGTGGCTGCCGAGGACACCACAGAGTCACAAGAGGTATAAAGGAATGCAGTGTGCCTTGGTCCAGCAGCAGATTGAAACTCGGTTGTATATATTTGAAACTCGGCTTTTATTATCACATCAACCTCTGAACATTCATATGAACAAAGAAAAAGGGTGTTGCTTTTTGTGTGATGGGGGGAAGGTAAGTTATGGAGTGCTTGTCTAAGTCACAGACGCTTCTACATGTTCAGTTCAAATAGGCAGTGTGCATTTCAAGACCTTGAATAAGGAAAAACAGAGTTCCTCTAACAAAAGTAGCTGAACTGTCTTGACTGTAAAAAAAAGTGTGGGGGGAGACCAAAAGCATCACTTCTTCTAGTGGTCTCTGCACTGCTGGAGTGGCATCTAAAATTAATGGGGCCGCCTGTCAGTTGCAATTAAGTCATCCATCAAAGACAGTGTGCACCCACCTCACAGCAAGAGATGCCAGGTGGGACTGTCTCCTAGTTCGCAACCTGCCGTGGGCAGAGAGTTGCAACTGAGGCAGGCATTGCTGGAAAGGGTTCAGGGGAAAGCAGCTTGCATTATGCATGGCAGGATCCCCCCTAATTCACCGTTGCGCACACACCACTCCAACACTGCTGCTGCCCTAGCTCTCTGATTCCTCATTTGGCATCCTGGGAGAGGGCTGCAGCTGGCACGATCTCCGTGCCATTCAGGCAGCCCCACACTGGGCGTGTTCCCAGCACAGCACGAGTTTGTTGTGGCTGGGAGGGTAAACTAGCAGCCTGCACCTAGCCATGGGGAAAGGGCAGCTGTGAAGCCCCGCAATATTCCAGGAAACTATTTTCCCTCCTCGCATTTTCACCCACTTGCTCAGTAATGTACCTCAGCAGATACGATGCTGCTGCTACCTTTCAGCATACATTTGGCTCAAAGCATTACTGGGTTTAGAAAAGCAGGTCTGTTACAATTTTATGATATGCATTATATAGTACAAAGTTTGTAATAATGTATAATACTATGTAAAACTTTATTAGCAGATGTATGATTGCGTTTAAGACCTGCTTGTTTTTTGCACATTCTCAGAATTTAATATTGTGGATGGGGTGTGAGGTGCTTGTTCCCGTGGCCTTATAATTCTGTGTGATATATCCAAACTGTGCTGTTTGTCATCTTCCTAAGAATTAGACGAATTTTTCCTCTGCCTTTTCCTGTATAGCAGGGCTTGCAGCTAGGAGGGAAATCCAGTCACAGCCCAAATTAAGCTCAAGAGCCAAACTGGATTTTGAAGAAGCTGTTGGGGAACCACATTTCAGTGGTGGGCAGACCTGAAGACTAAGGAGGCCAAAGGCAAAGGTGGCAGGGGTGAAATCACACACACACACACACACACACACACACACACACACACACACACACACAGTATCCCTGTATTGTAACTTAATGTTCTGACTGGCAGGAACTACACCTCCGAAGAGGCATCCCGACCTTTTAGAATGAGAGAAAGTGCACAAAAGCAAGGCAAGCTCTGAATGACCAGAGGTTGGAGGAAAGGGAAGGGGGGTTGGGAGATTGTCCCTCTGGGAAACCCCAGGCAGGCCAGGTTGCGTCTGTGGGCATATGGTTCTCCACCCTTGCTCTATAGGGTGGCAGCAGTGGCCTAGGGACCCTGCATGTGGAGGAAGCCAGCAACAAAGATGACTGCATTTCTTCCAGCCAGATGACGGCATTTCCATTCTTCCTTTTGACAGCTGGCCCAGGTTGATTCAAGAGCTGTCCAGCTCGGTTCTCTCTTCATCCGAGGCCTGTGTGTGTTGGTGATGGCCAACAGTGCTTGTGGCTTCCCCTTCAGAATGGATGATTTAATGCCATGGCACATATTTGATGGGAAGCTCTTTCAAGAGAAATATGAGCAGGCCCACAGAGGATGCCATTTGCATGAGCTTTTGGAAGGCAATGTAAGTACACAGGCTTGTCTTGGGATCGGGATGCGGGGGAACCTTTTGTAGCTTAGGGCGCTGTAAAGCTCTTTTATTTAAGAAAAGAAGAAAAAGTATTTATTTTATTTCTTATAACATACTTCTGCAGGCACTATGCACCGGGACCATTTCACCAGTTCATTCTGCCGGTGTTGGAGTAGAGGTCACTTATGTTGGTACTGCATTAAATACATTCAGCACCGCTGCACACTGCGCAGTATCTTAATTGGTCCTGCTTAACCTGAGCAGTCTCCTCTACTTCCCTGCCTCTTCACTGCAGCAAAACAAAAAGACAACAAAAAACTCACCTCATCCAAATAAAAATATTCCCCAGTCTTACTGTTTCCATTGCTGCAGCCTTAATCAACTGAAGCATAGATACAGTCATCTCCTTGATTATGTGAAGCATTAAAATCACTTGTTTCTTAAACTAAAATACTTTCTGATTCTGTTGAAATTGATAGCAGAATATACAGAAACTTTCAGTATTATATTTGCATTAAAGGGTTTTATTTGGTCCCTTTTATTCAAGATCCTTTGCCATCTTTTAGGCAAATATATACTGATTGGTTAATCTGGAGATAATCTGGGTTGGATCTGGATTTAATCATGCTTAGAGCAGAGTCACTGAAATCCATGGGACTTAAGTCAGCCATAACTCAATTTCACCATTGATTTACATCCAACCAGAATGAGAGTAGCCATGCTACTTATTTTTCCCCAGAGCTCTGAAACCCAGCTGGCCTAAACCAGAAGTAAGCAGTACTCAGTTCAAGATAATGTACAGCTGTGGATCCACAGACAAGCCAGCACATGCCACTGAAGAACCCTGTTAGAAAAAACCAAAAGAAAAAAAAAAGCTTTGGTTGTAGCACATCATAATTTGGTGTGACATCTCCACTGGACCCCTGACACATTTCAGTGCAGCTTATCTCAGAAAGAGAGAATTTGCCGTGATCGTTGTATTCCTCTCAACAGGAAGCTTGGCTTGCAGAGTTTCAGAACCTCAGATCCCTTATTTGTAAAGTATGCTCAGCAAAAGGTAGACATATTCAGAGCAGACAGAGACCGAACAGATTTGTGACTGGTAAGTGTCATGTGACTTGCTCAGTAAATCAATTGTACTGACATCATTTTTCACCTCTAAGGCGAAAAATTGCCTCTGATACTTTGCCAAAGCAAGGATGTGGAAGAGGGACATTGCTGGCTTTAAAGCAATAATTTATCTTAAAAGCGTGGCAGTTATGTGAAATTTCTCAATTAAGATTTTAAAAGAGATGCATACAGCTATAGGTGCTACTTAAAAGATGTGTTCATACAAGGAAGGAAACTTGTATATATGCCACATTGTAAATGCTGCATTTCATATGCAGGTAGCATTCCATGTCAAAAATTGCAAGGGTCCAGGGTGTCGCCTTGACAGCAGTTCATGCAGCAAAATAGACATTTGTGTTCTTCCTGTGGGGCCATGAACACACAAGGTGTGCATGACTTTCTACATGTAATTAATACTGGGGAGGGGAATGCATGACATATGAAACTGTTTGAAGTAGACCCACAATCACCACCCTGTCCATTGCTTCTGCACTTTAAAAAGTGTAACTAGTTGTATGACTCCATATTTTTCCGGTTTTGCTTGAGTAGAAACACATGCATTGTGTGCATGAAGTCTCATGTTTGATCTCTGGCATATCTAGGTGGGGCTGAGAAGGAATCCTGCCAAAATTCTGGAGAGTGGCTGCCAGTCAGTGTTAGTACTGGGCTACACAGTCCAGAGTCTGACTCAGTATAAGCAAGTCTTCCGTGTTCCTAGACAAAAGTTTCAAGTTTTGTCACCTGAGACTTCCCATTAAGTTCTGTGGAAATACTTTCAATTATTATAAATTGTAAAACAAGCAGCTTAGGATTGTTTTTGTTAGTGCCTATCTGAATCATGTGAAATACATTGTTTTTTAGACAGACAAGGAAGATGCCAAGGTTCTCGTTTTCAGAATCCAAGAAGAATTCAGCCACATCACCAGTACAGGCAATACTTTGGGAGAGTCTCTCAGCCACCTGGTTATCCAGCTGAATTCCAGCCTCCAGGTAAGAAGAGCACCTGCTGTAGATGAGTAATTGTTGACATCTTGAAATTACTTAAGTTAAAAATTATTTTTCACTGTTGTGTGTTGCATTTAATGCAAAGCATGAATTAAAGAGATGGCAGTTCTATGGTAAGAAATGTGAACAACTAAGTTTTGCTGCTGATGGATTCCATCCAGAATATGCCTTCCACAAGAGGAAGGACCTTTCTACAAAAGGAAAGTTCTGTCCCCAGAAGGACCCTCCTCCCAGTTTGGGGGGAACCCCCAACCTACGACAGCTTGCCCATGCATCAGGGTCTTCTGGAGGACCTGCCATTGGAGGAGGTGGCAGGAAAGCCCACTTCTGCAGCACAGTCGATCCAATGTAAATCTTGATCCAACCCGTTATGTACATGTTACAACCCTCCATGCCATATCCCATATTGTTCAAGAGGTGTCTGAACCTGCAGGTGCAATGCTGGGGAATCTGTGAAAATTGGGTGCCTTAATTTGCATAAGTGGAACTGCATTTCACTCAAGAAAAGTCCCAACTGGATACAACCCAAGGTTTTGATCTTAACCACAGACAAAACACTAATTAACTGTATAAAATAAATGCATAAGTAAATGTGTGGGTTCATCTGACTTCGATCCAGACTTCATCTAATTAATGTAGACCCATTGAAGTCAATGGGACTTATGTCTAATCTGTGACTAGGTCCACTGGATCCAACCCAGTGACATTTTATATTCATGGCAGAAATAGGCAAATGCATCAAAATAAAACTATTCTAAAGGAGTAGAATACATATATGAACATATACACATGTTTACATGCAGGTATGCATGAATTTTCTCATACACTTTGCAAGTTTTTCTGCTTCAGCAGAAGTTTTCTGTGTTTGTTTTGATTTTCAAGTATTTATGTGCACTCTGCCTTTCTGCCAAAAAATGACACTCAATATAAAATTAAAATTATTAAAATGTATTTAAACAATAAAGCAATACATTAGATGTGCCCATGACAGAAATTATTTTAAACAGCACCCAACCCAATATACCCAATTTAAGCCATTAAAAGCCTTCTTGAATAAAGCAGTCTTTGCCTGTCAGTGGAAAAACGGAGGAGAGGAAGTCATCCCAGCCTCTCTTCAGAGGGAGTTCCACAGCCTGGAGGCAGTGCTGAAATGGCCCTTTCTTGGGCCACCAATAAAGCATCTCTGAAGGGAGCAGTCTTGAAGAAGGGCTTCCCTAAAGGATGCAGAAGACAGTCTCATATCAAAGAAGGTGGTCTTTCAGGTGGCCAAGCCTTATAGGACATCTAGTGCTTTGAATTTTGCCTAGAAGCATATGGGTAGCTGCTGAAACTGTTGTAACAGGGGAACTGCACACTCCAGGTGTAAGCAGGTGTAACCAGCCCTGCTCAACAATCTGGCCACAACATTTTGGACCACCTCTGGTTTCAGATTCTGATTCATCCCCCATTTCAGTAAAGTAGGATCAAGCCTTTGTGCAGGATGCCTCTTTAATGGTTCTTGTACATATTTGAAAGTAAGATTACAATTGCAATAAAGGCCTTTCCTCTTTCAAGCCTGAGTTGTATTCAGGGTTCAGTGTGACAATTAAAATATCACACTTAATTGCCTGTAATTTTCCTCCATCTCACCACCACAGTTCGGCAGCCCCTTATTAGTCCTCTGGTAAACAACGAGCTTAGAGCACCTGTTAATTTATCAGATGAAACAACAAAAGTTTCATTTGCCATTTTAAGCAACTGCTCCTCAAACCAAGACTTCTGCCTCTATACGTGGTGAGTTTGGAGGTAATTTAGAAGGATTTAAACAGCAGTACTGAGTACGGAGTTTTATCAGAATGCAGGCGGATGAAACTGCCCAAGGAATCTTCTTGTACTGACTATGCTAGCCTGAGAAGAGAGAAAGTCTTCTGCCCTTTCTGGAGACCTGAGTGGTGACATTTCATTCATCCTTTCCCACCTCTCTCCCCTCATTGAAAGAAATGATGGAGTCAAGCAGCTAGATTAGAATTCAGAGGAAACGCAGCCCCTTCTCACCACAACCACTGCCCCAGAAGGAAGGAAGAAGTGCAACTTGAATTCCTCCAGAGATCATGAATTTCTGCTCTTGGCTGGAATTTTCTATAGCAGTTGCTAAAGGAGACAGGATTTGCTCCTCTGTCTGAGGAAGCAGAAGCTGTAACACTTCCTTCTGAGGAGAAGGCACCATGAGGAGGAGGTCTGAGTTTCTCCTCAGGTCCAACAAATACAAACAGAAACACACAGCTGTCCAGATTACCTCAGGTAGGGACCTCATTCTGCCATATGGTTGGGCCAACTCTGAAAAGTAACAGTTGAAAACTTTTATTACTTTCAATTTATGATAGTCTAATGTTTAATTTGCACTCAGTGGAAGAACATAACCAGCTGCTTCCAAAACTCTCCACTTGCCATGAAGGCACTGTGGTTTTTCTATGGGCATGTACATTTGAATGAAAATTTAGCAGGCTTGAATTTAAAGTGGTTCACAAATGCCTCCAGGGTGTGTGAATCAGCTCCTACTGATAGACAATTCATGTTTCCATTTATTTATATCCATCAGGGTGTGCGTTTCAGCTTTTCATTCTGGCTCTTCTCCCAATTAGTTTAATTCATTGAGGTGGACTCAGAACCCTTGTGCTACCATGGAAGAATACGCTTTGTGGAATGGGTTTTCCTCCCCCTCTTTCCCACAGCATTGTCACTCAGGGTTAGCTGGGTCACCTGGGGAATTTTTTTAATGGCTGTGGTGTACACACATAAATTAAATACAGTATTTTCTGAAATGCTTTAAGGAAGATGTTTGTGCCTGTTCTAAACAGTCATATTTTCTCCCCCTTAGGTCCGGGATTTAGGTCAAGACATGGACCACCAAGGAGACAAAGATTCTAGCTTGCTGCTCAGTGAATCATTATTACAGAATGTAATAAAAACAAGTAGAAAGCGAGTATATGGTTTAACTAAAATGTTCAAAATTATCATTTATTTAGAATTTTAGCTGTACTTCTGACAGATTTGGTTCAGAGTGGTGTCTGTTCTTCAAGAGTTCTTCCTTCAAACCCTCACGGCTCTGCACTGTCCCACCTGGGGACTACTGTGGGCCAGGCATTCCCTTTGCACAGACATTGGATAGAGTTTGTGGGAACTATATGACCTCCTATAGAAAGTAAACATTAACCTTATGACCATATCAAAAGTAGAGTCATACTGTGTTTTAGTGTTGCTTCCCTTTGGATTCTCAAATGCATTGCCAAAATAGGAACCAAATGGTAGTATGAAAACTGTGTCATTCCATAAGCAGAAGTAAGGTTGTACTCCCAAAAACTAGATTCTGAACTAGGCGTAATAAAAAATCCAACTAAGATTACATTTGTGTGAGTGGCTGTACATTCTGCTTTTGCAGCTTGTTGTGCATAATGGTTGTCCATTTCCACAAGGGAAATATTCAGTAGAATTCTGTTAGTGCTATTTGAGTTTTGGAAATGACACTGTTGAATAACTGGCCAGATTCTCTAGTACAGATTTTGACACTGGAGACTTTTCATTGTTGTTGTTATGTGCTGTCAAGTCATCTCCAATTTAGGATGATCCTATGAATGAAAGCCATCCAAAATGTCCTATCCATGACAGCCCTGCTCAGCTCCTGTAATTTCAGAGCTGTGACTTTATGAATGATCAGCCTTCCCAAACCAAAGGAGATGTTTTGGAGTTTAACTCCTTTCAGGTCTACCCAGCATATCAATGTTCAGAAATTCTGGGAATTGTGGTCTGGAACAACTATAGGGTACCTGGTTGGGGAAGTCCTGGATGCACTACCTAAAAGAAAATTTACATCAAAATACAGTTAAAATTGTTTCCTCCTTATACACTGAAGGTGTTGGACATTCTTTATTATTTATTTATTTATTTAAAATATTTCTATGCCGCCCCCATTGCAACAAAGCCTCGGGGCGGCTCCCAGTCCTCCCAATATTTTCCCAATTTTTTAATAGATGGTTTCAGAATTGCAGTCCTGCAACAGTAGGGCTTGAAATCTAGATAAACCGTGCTTTTGACATGGACACTGTAAGTACAGGTTTCTCCAGAACTGAGGTGGTAATGAGTTGCGTGCCTTTTAAGTCATTGATCCTAACATACTACAGCCTCTTGAAAAGGGCTACAAGCAGGGAGTGCATGGCCTGGGATACTTGCCTGAGGTGGAATGAGCTGTAAAATGCACAAAACCAAGAAAACATGCCTCTGTAAATCAAGATTCACCTGCAGTTGTTTGTATATTAACTAGTAAGTGATTTGCACTTATGCAAAAACTACTTACTGCTGCAAATCAAACCTCATATATGGAGTAATGCTTTGATTTCATTATGTATATCCATGCAAACACTTAAAAAAATGTAAGTTTAGATGGACCGTTTATTTTTGCCTGACAATTTATTTCTCTTTTTTAGATGGCCCAGTTGATTCTCCTCATCATAAACAGAACAACCAAGCAAATAGTCCTGATAGTCTGCAAAAATTAATCATTACAATTTCATGATATATTTAATGCTGTATATTGCATTGTTTAAATGTGGTGAGCAATACAGCTTGCCTTGCTTTTTCAAGCTGTATGGATTCTCATGAGTATATATTGTTACACGGTGGATTGAAAGGTGTTCCCTCAAGGGAAGCAGCAGCCAAAAAATAGCAATTAGTCAAAGGAAGAAGAAAAAAAACTTTCTAAAGGGCTCAATTTTGGATGCCACACTATTCAGTAATTTCATTAATCAAGTGGCAGGGAGCATTCTAACACACTTCTGGATGACAGCTGAAGGGTGGACTACAAAGACTGAAAAACAGCATTTCAAAATAAACTCAGAAAGAAGTTAAATTCATTGAAGAGTATATTACACTGAAAGGTGATATCTACAAAGTGGGAGAAAAGTATCTTCAGAGTTTCCATTCCTATTTTGTCCTTATCTGCCAATAAAAAATATTTGTTGTATTGACATTTAATTATCCGTATCAAAATGCCATATATTGAATCTGTATCCTCCTTTTCAGCTTGGGTCCTGAGAACATTCCACAACAGATAAGTAGTGGGATTCATAATAACTTAACACTTAACACAAACAACAAGAACAGATTGACTCATACTACAATTTTTAAAATTTTATTTTTGATATTTGTATACTACTTAAATATAATACAGTCCCTAAATAATTTCAGATTCCCTAAAATTCTAATATACATATGAAATCTTGCCCAGCTTTTCTGCAAGGGAAAAAGCATTATTTAGTTTCTCTGTTTGGGTGAGCATAAAATGAATGCATTAAGAGAGAAAGGTGAAAGAAACACCACAATGACCAGGGCAAGGAAATAGAACTACAAAAGGGGGAAAATGAGAGACCTCTTCCAGAAAGTCCAAGAATTCAAAGGAGATTCAAACCTAGATTAGGAATGCTTGAAAGACCAATGGGAAAGCATGCTATTTGACCAGGAAAAATAAAGAGAAGGTGGAAAGAATATACGAAGAACTATACAGAACAGACGAAAGGATGACAAACCCTTTGAAGAGGACTCCAAAGAGGAAAAACTAGCAGTATCTATAAAAAGTGAAGTGAAAGCTGCTTTGAAAGCACTCAGAAGGAATAATACACCAAGAGTATCAATAGAACTATTCCAGCCTGCAGAGAATGAATTGGTCCAAATCCTAACAAGAATATGCCATCAAATATGGAAAACAAAGCAATGGCCCACAGACTGGAAACATTCAATATACATTCCAGTCCCCAAGAAAGGAGAGGCAAAAGAGTGCATCTACTACAGGACCATTGCACTAATTTCCCATGTAAGTAAAGTGATGCTCAAGGCGTTGCAACAAAGAATGGAGTGAGAAACACCTGAAGTTCAAGCTGGATTCCTATGAGAAAGAGGCACTCCAATGGGATTGGGAGAAACCCTCTTGGAATCCATCCCTCCAAGCATTCACAGGCTTCTTGTGCTCTGCCCTGTCTTCCAAAGCAAGCCAAGCAGAGAAGGAAGCCCATGAGCATTTGCAGACCCCTGGTTGTGCAACAAGGGACTGCAGGTGGCACAGTGGTTTAAACCGGTGCAACAGGCAACTTTCATGTCAGCTGCAGCTGACATGGAAGAGGGACACTGTTGGGGCAGCACTCGCAGGGGGCTCCTTTCCTGGCGAGCCCCTTGAAGCCAGCATGCTTTGGTACCAGATGCAGCTCTCCTGATGCATGAGAGTATTGCTGGGGTTGCTGTCCTAGCAAGCCCCTTGCACCCAACCTTCTTCAGTGTCAGTTGCAGCCGCTCAAATGCTGGCCACACGTGGCATGTGACGAGGGTGCCGCTTGCACATCATGTGGGGCTCTGTTCCTGGTGAGTGCCCTGCAGACGCTGGACATGCCCACCAGGAACTTGAACTCTGACCCCTGAAAAGTGGTCTAGTCTGGGAAGCTGAGCTCAAGGAATCTGGAAGAGTCCTACTCTAACTCAAGGTCATACCATAAATATACGTTAGCTGCTGCAGCGCAGCCAAGCTCAATCTGTGCTTTATGGACTACAACAAATCCTTTGACTGTGTGGATCATGAATAGCTATGAGTATTCCTGAAAAATGGGTGTGCCACAGCACTTGAATATCCTGATGCATAAGCTGTACTGTGAACTAGAAGCTACAGTTAGGACTGACTAGGAAAAACAAAATGGTTTCCTGTAGGCAAAGGCATCAGACGATGGTGTATTTTATCCCCCCTATCTGTTCAATCGCTAAAGAAAATATCACAAGGAACACTGGATTGAATCAAAAGAAGGAGGGGTGAAAATATATCAGGAGATACTTCAGTAATTTAAGATATGCAGATGATACCTTATTACTGGCAGAAAGCATCAATGAATTGACAAACTTCTGATGAAAGAAGAAAGTGCAGAAGCAGAACTGAAGCTGAACATTAAGAAAACAAAACCATGACTATGGAATAATTGCACAACATTAAGGTCAATAGTTAAGAAATTGAGATTATGAAAGATTTTGCATGCCTTAGCTCAGTCATCAGTTCAAATATAGACTGCAGCCAAGAAATTTGATGACTAAAACTTGAAAACAAACTTGAAAGAGAAGCAAAGAAGGAACTAGAAAAGATTATCAAGTGTAAGAAAGTTTTCCTGGAGACCAAAGCCAAGATTATGCACAGTCTTGAATTCTCAATCATAATGCATGTTGTGAAAGCCAGACAGTGAAAAAAGAGGCCGAAGAAAATAGATGCATTCAAAACATGGTGCTGGAGGAGAGCTTTGCAAGTACACTGTACCAACAAGAAAGATGAACAAAGTGGGTCCCACATCAAATTAAGCCAGACCTTTTCCTGGAAGCAAAAATGACAAAATGGAAGCTGTCACATTTTAGGCAGATTCTGAGAAGGCAAGATTCATTCATAGGACAGCCATAAGCTGGAGAAGACTATAACCAACAACAACAAGCAACAACAATTATCAGGCTAATCAGCATAGCCAGTAATGGCGGCTGTTTCTGTGGTCCCAGTCAGAGGCACTCCAAAGACCTCTTCCCAGCCTCACCTGTACCTGGCAGAGACCATTCCTATGAGACTGACTGTCTGAACTCGGTGTCATTGTTGGATCTCCATTTGCACAGCACCTGTGCAGCTGCTGTCAGTCAAGGCTGTGGCTGCTTAACAAACTCCAGTTGGGAAAGGCTATGTCACCCTTGCCTAACCTGGCGCTTTCCTGATATGTTGGATAACAACTCCCATCATCTGGATGCTGGGCTGATGGGACTTGGCATCCCACACATCTGGAGGGTTGCAGGGGAAGGCTGGTGTCTGCTCAAACAATTTGAAATCCCTTCTGCAGCCCCAGAAAGTGCAGCTGGTCCGTGGCCTTTCTCTTGCAAAGCAAAGGATCATTCCCGTTTTGTGGTGAGGCACCCACTTATCGGGGCCTCCCAGCAGCAATTTGCAACAATGGAGGAACAAAGCTGCCATTTGACCTAGAATACAATTTTCAACTAATTAATAAAGTGACCATTAGTGCCCGAGGGGATAATAACAGGAGTAAGAGCAAATTACTGTGCTAACTGATGCTTGCTAAGGGGGTGCAAAGGAGACACGGCCATTGTATTGCAAATGTCTTGAGGCTCTATTCTTCTTTTTTTTTTTTTACACACACACACCACTAATATTCTTAGAGTGCTCCCACTCAACACTTGCTCCTTCTAGGACCCTTGCAAAAGTGTAAGAATTAGCCCTTCAAAGATCAATCAGGATATAATTGTTGCTAACAAAGTGCCACCTGGTGAGACATGTTACAATATACCTTCATTACAAAGCATTCAGTCCTTAACCCTACAACTACAGTAAGAGGGTAGGGGGAAGGAAGCCCTGCCTCCCCCAGCTTCCAGCCACCTGCAACACTGGTAAAAGACTTCAAGGCAAGGCAAAATGTGCTTTTTTCACTTCTTGGGCAGAGTTAACTCTGTTATGTTTGAGGTATCTAAAAACAGTTCTACACAGTACACAGATCCAGTGTTTAGAGTTTCTACCAGCAGTTCTCCACTGTTTTGTTTTTTTCAAAATAGGTCTCCCAATATCAAGAAAATAATTGTTCAAGCCTTTGAAAATGCAGAACAAGTTTGCAATATTCACTTCCCTCCTTTCCTCAGGAGCAAATTGATAAAGGGAAAGCTATTTGTTAACACAGTTCCATTTCATTCCTCCACGTACAAAATAACAACAAAAAAGAAAAATACATTATAAAAATATAACACTGTCAACATATATACATTGTCTATCGTGTAGGGAGAGGAGAGAAACTATATAGCCTTAAGTTCAAAATAAAATAACACAGGAAAGAAATAAATTGCCATCAAACTCTAGCTCCACTGAGATCATATCACCAAGGTATGGATACATGCAATTAACAATAGAGAGCAGAATCTTACCAAGCTGTCCTGATTGTGGTGTTGATGAATGCCAGGTTGGATGAATGCCATGATCTCAGTCATCCATGATGAACATGGGTGAGGGTGCTAACCATCCAGACATCCCAGAGACCAGGTGGGGTGTAGCCACTGTGATCCATAAAAGCCCAATCTCTCGCCAGAAAACCCCTCTGCCCTGGGCCAGGCTATAAGCACCAGTACCTTGCGCTGGGCCAAAGAAACGGGGGAGCTATCCACCCCACTGCTCAAGCAGAGAAGTTCTCCAATGGTTAGGACTCTGTCCTGGGAGGTTTCAACACCCATGCTCAACCTGCCTTAACAGGACTCGCTCAGGACTTCATGCTCTCTGTGACAGCCTCGAGGAAGTCTCAGTTTCATCAACAGCTGTATGCATAGAACAGGGCATACCCTTGATTTGGCTTTTGCCTCTGGAACAAAGAGGGTGGTCTGGATACAGCAGGGGTGGGGGATTGTTGAAATCACCTTGTAGCCATGGTCAGGGCACTTTCTGGTGAAATTTGGTCTACAGTGTCAGTTGCTACCTGCAATGGAGAGGGACCAGTTAAGACAGGGGTCTCAAACTCAACTTACCTGGGGGCTGCTGGAAGTAGAGTCTGGGTGAGGCTGGGCCGCATCAAGTATTCCACCACCATGATGGTGGTGGGCCGCTCATCCCGCATCGCTCCTGGAGGCCGGCCCAGGCGCCGCCGGCACTTTGAAGGCCGCAGGGCCCCTCGCCTGTGCCCCACCCGTCCCATGGGCTGCGAGTTTGAGACCCCTGAGTTAAGATGTTCTGAGCTTAAAGACTTGATGGAAACTGACAAATTCCTGAATGTTCTGGGGGATTTTTCAGTAGCCAGTGCTGTCAGTTCTGTTGGTGCTCTCATGATCATGTGGCGCTCAGAAGGCTTCCTGGCTAGCTCCAGACAGATGGCCAGAGCATATGTGGCCTACGACTCATTATGAAGATGACTGAGCACACAGAAGGGCATATAATCACACCTATGTGGGAGTAAAGGCAGAAAAGAGGGTTTACTTTGCCACTT